AAAAAAAAAAAAAAAAAAAAAAAAAAAAAAAAAAGGAGGTGGTTAACCGAACAGCCTGTGAAGAAGAGGCAAAAAGATCCATATTTAACTACGTCTTCGCGTTTGGATAGAATTCGATTCCTGACTGGCTGCAGACAGTGTCTAACACAACATGGCCCATACAGCGGCAGCATAAGCCCAAACCAACAGAAATTAATTCAGTAATTGGCTGCTATATCCCATCTACATATATTACAGCGTAGTATGAAAATATATGACGGTTGAATTAATTTAATCGCCCGAGCAAAGCCATTGCCAGCTATAGACCAGGATTCTCTCCGTACGCACTTTCATTGTCCAGGATGGGAAATTGGTAACTGGTAATGGGTAATCACTAATGAACGTGCATGAGCCGTAAGGCGATTGAAGGACAGCCTGAGGTGTCTTTATTATATTATATCATTGCCTTGGGAATACCAACTGCCTAATCGATCCATCATGCTCTCATCAAGGCACCCGCACCCGCACTCACTCGATAGTGCTTACCACCTGACTCCTAAAAGACATTCTTCACACCATTAGTTTCGTCTCAATCTTCACCTCGCCTATTCCATATGCGGACGCCACATACCATACGAAGTACAGCTTTTTATAAGATATCGGCAAAGAAGTCGATCACCAACATTGATGGTCGCCCACCACCAATCGTATCAGCCCAACCCTCGCGAACCAACACCTCCTGCAGGACGGACACCGGTGATTTGCTCGTATCCCGAGTCATCATGCACCGGGTAGACAGACCCGTGTGGCTACATGGCACTCGACAAGTGAGCTGAGCTGACATCATCTTTGCTATCATCCTTGCTCTTTGTTGAGACAGGGTGGTGAGATGAGAAGGAGCTATCTGCTCATTATTACAGTGCTGAGTGTTTGTCTTACTTGCTGTGAGACTATCATGATATCATGCACTTGGCCATGAGGATATGGTCAGATGTCTAACTACGAACGCGTTACTGGTCAGTGGGCTGGCAAGTCTAGCTGCGATCGTCGTCCTCGTCGTCTTCTTACTTCTGTGACTGACTGCATGGTCAGCCCTTCGGCTAGACTCTCAGAGCTGAGATTGGATATCCCCGTCGCCACAGACGTAGGATTACTCTGCCTAGACGGGCGGATATTACCCCCGTTTCTTCTTTTCCACTGCGCTTCTGTCTTCTTCATACCAGCATGATGACCATCTCCTCGCCACGTATTCTGCCTGAATCACGGTGTTTCGGGGAGTTGTCCGTAGAAGCCGCCCAAGAGGATGAGATGATGTGAGTGGCATTTCTGCTGATCATGCACGGCCCTAGGCCAACACAATGCCTCTCATGGTCATCGGGACGAGGCAGACCTGACTTGAACGTGTGTTCGACTGAGAGGCAGAGAGAGTCATGTATTCATTCAGCCGAGCTGGATATCTCGAGTAGGATACGGTATTAGCCACCTGGCTCGGATCGGGATTCGCTTCGATATGACGGATATATGCCAGCACGGCAATGAGTAGGCTCCAGCAGACGCGGGCGCGGGCGTGGAGTGTGCAGAAGTTAAATCTTATATTGGTCTGCGTGGCTCTTAGTAGCAAGTGCATGGGAGAGCTAACGAATTACGAAGAGACATTGAATACCGGTCTCGTGATATCTGACAACTGTACCGTACGTTAACTAATGGCGACAAAAGGTAGAAGAGACATACAGGGTGCGTCTGTATGCTCTGGCTCAAATCGAAGGATGAAAAAGTAAAGTCTGTTCATTGCAAATGGTCACGTTGAATTCCGAAACAGTGTCCCGCTGGAGGAGTTCACGTTTTAAATACACAACCAATGTCAAAAAGCTCGCTCGACAAGATTGCTGTACAAAACCCCTCTAAATGCATTCATGAAAACATATATGGAATACAAGTCAGAAAAGACGAAGTAAAAGCACAAAACACCACATATGCTTATGTTAATATGCCGAGAGTACATGCGATGCGATGCTAGATGGTTGGGAAACATCAGTTGACAATAACCCGAACAGTAGTATGGAGTGAAAATCAAGGTGGGTAGGCCGTGACAACAAGTGAAATGAAACCTGAGTTAATGAGCAACAACAGCCTTGAGGAAATTCTTGAGCTTCGACTCTTCCTTTGGAGGCTCATCTCTCCGGCGTCTGTGATGGTGATGGCGCGTTTCTCCTCCATGACGATGGCGATGATGGTCGGACGTTTCTCTTTCCTTTGCCTGCTCTGCTTCTTCTGCAGCCCTTCGTCGCGCCCTTCTCTCGCGTCGAGCCTGCTCTTCCTCCGCCGTATGATGGGAGCTCGCGGACCGGTCGGACCCTCTTCCTTCGTGCGAGTGACGGTGACTGTGTGAATGGGTTGTGGAAGACCGACGCTCAAACACATTTGCAGCAGCCTTGTCGCCATTAATCTTGAGAAGAGGACCATTCGTTTCTGATTCCGCTGTCATGTATTTCAGGAAGGCTCGCGGCTTCGAGCCCGATGCATGGCCATCCCGTGAGGAGGTACTTCTACGTTCGCCTCCGTGGCTACTGGAGTGCTCTCTGCTCCTTCGGCTCGGTTCGATAGTCACAGCAGCCTTTTCCCGCGAAGGACGCTCGACTTCATAGGTGGCTGAGCGCTCGGATCTTCGTCGACTGGGCTTGACATCCACGGCAGCTTCTTTCGACGAACGCTCGCTTCGTTTAGAGCGCTCTCGCTCCGAGGAATGCCTGTCCTTCTCTGCCTTCTCTGGAGCATGGAATTTGTCTTTACTCCGTATTTCCTCCTGCCTTAGCTTTTGTTCATGCTGTCGCTTGGCCTCCTCGAGGGCTTTGTTCCACCGATTAAGGAGACTGCCACTTCGCTCAAGTTTCTGGCGTGGCAATGATCTTCGTACTTCCTCAGAGGAGCTCTTCGAATGTCGTCTCTGGTCCTGATCCGGGGACCGCCTCTTTCTCCTGCGTGCACGTTCGGCTGCTATGGCGGCTGGAACAACAGCTGGCAAGGCTGCTTCCAAGGGCTCCAAGCCATCGATATCTCTTGAGGTTTCCTCAACAGGCGTTGCGTCTGGAGCCTCTTCGGAGACTTCTTCGTCCACAGGAGCAGCTTCTTCGATTGGGACAGGTTCTTCAATAGGAGCGTCTTCCTCAACAACCGCACGTTCCTCGGCAGGTACCTCCTCGGCAGCAGCAGGCTCTTCAGCGGGAGCAGGTTCCTCCGCTGGAGCAGGTTCCTCCGCTGGAGCAGGCTCTTCAACAGGGGCGGG